TCATTCAAGCCCCACGCCCCCCCCCCGCCATGTTGTGTTGATTCGCAGGTGGCCAATTCCTGCGTAGAAACATGGGCGTGGTACTGGGTCGTGTACAACCGGGCGATGCTCCAGGGGGTGGATAAGTGGTATCGTGTGGAGGACACGCCTGCCAGCCAGGTGTTTGTGGCCGTAGCAGGATGAGATCTTCTCGTGCTAGCGTTGGCGTAAGCTACCGCTGAATGCGACCGCGCCCCGAACGACAGCAGCAGCAGCAGCAATGTTCTGTGACGGTGGCCTCCTGCACGCAAGCACGCCAATGTTCCAGCAGCCGTTCTGTTGTTAATGACCTAACTGATGGAAGCATCAAACTTTTCGCCCATCTCATCCTGTCGGCTCCGTTGCTGTTTCAATTTTTTGGTATGCCCATGCGTCAATACCTTGGTCGCTCTCGAATGGGGCGACAGATTGCTGCTATGGCTGGCTTTTCGAGCGTGACCATAGCCGAGGTGAGCGGAACACGCGGTCCAACAGGTACCACCGGGTCGGACCCCCTATCTCATTTCCTGCTTAGCGTGGGCTTGTTGCGACGTGGAATATCTTGGAACGATGAACTTTGGAGATTCATCAAGACTGGTTTCGGACTCGATGGCCTCTGAAGAGCGACAGAAAATGGCCTTGTATGTCACGGTATTCAGAGTACACCCGCTGGGTCTTGAACGTGCCGACTCTCATGTACGAGTTCCCGGTTATCGGATCAGATTTGCCAAGCCATGTTAATTTTGCAAGTGCTGCTGCACTGTCGTAAGGCCACGAAGAGACCGGCATAAACAAACTTCCACGGTTTCCACCTGTACCGACTGCGTTTTCCCAGTCTCTCCAAAACTCCGAGTCAGCCCCTGACGAAGAAGCGGGGGTTGGACAAGTCATGACCAGCAACCCAACAGGGTTCGAGGTCACATGGGAAGAAATCGCTTCCTTTCCAGGGGGGCTGCTTCAAGAGGTGAGACATTGCACAATGCAATGCTGTACGCTTTCCTCCTGGTGATGTTTCCTTGTACTCTATCAAGTTGATATTGTTGGATTTATTTTTTTGTCTCTTGCGGCATTCTGGGGTCGACACCCTCCTTTTGGAAAACACGTAAGGTCTCCTGCTGGAAGGCGACTGGTTGTATCTACTGTAGAGCATGGACAATGGTCTGGAGATTTCACCTCGGTTTTGGTGTCGGCCATTTTTGCGTAGATTGGTGTCTCTCAAGTTAACATCGGCAGGTGCTTGGTTTCTGCACGGTGTGGGTGGGTTAGGTTGGTACGTTCGGAAAGTGGGCGTCAAAGGGACAGCGCTATTTCAAGGGCCACGAAACTTACCAACCTGTCCCCCGACGGCTCTCCCGTACTTTGTTGTTGTGTTCCCCGTTCTTACGCGCGGTGCCCCTCACTTGTGATAAGTTTTTTCGTACTCTTCTCGTTTGCACCGCTGGTGTGGGTGTGCCGTTGTCAGGCCAATCTCGAGTCCCCACCTGGCCGCAAGAGAATTAAAGAAGGCCTCCTGTGGCACAATTGGCCTATTTGTTGATGACCACCGCTTGTCACAGCCGCCTCTGTCGTAATGGTGTGCTGCTTGAGGACCAGAGGAGGGTCCGCCCAGGAAGAAAAGCGTGCTTATGACCCCTCCCTGCTCGAGACCTCCTGTAGGCCTCGCGGCGCGTCGGGCTTATTGACAGCCAACCTGGCACCCGAAGGCTTCACGTAGTCGACCCTGAATCCTGCGGGAGTACGATTTGCACTACCCGGGTTGATGGAGCCCCCCCAACGAACCATCGAGTACCCACCTGGTGCTGCTTCGACAGGTGTCTGATCTCGCCGTGGAGCTAGGATACGAAGCAGCCCCGGGATTGGCGAGAGAGGCAGAGAAGACCTCCACTATCGACGGAGGCAGTGGAGAGGGCGGAGTTCGGGACGGTGGAGCCAAGAGGGGCTGGAGAGGCCTTTTTGGCAAGCGATGAAAGGCGCGAAAGATCCATTGCATGATCTGATTGGTTGGTTTGTCGATGAATGGGCGAGGTTACGTGTCAGTGCTGGGTTCTGTTGTGTTTTGTTTTACTCTTCTAATGCGTGGGATTTGGCTTTCAAATTAACGCCACGTTGTTCCAATTATCGTACCCTATGAAGTAGGGGTTTCATTATGCTGCAGGGTTCTGTGACGTTGTCCGCATTTCATTTATCGATTGTGTTGCAATGTGGTTAATGCCATGTAGGGACCTTGACAAACACATATAACAGGGTTTTCGCCTGATTGAGAGCGGAGTATACGATTGAGAGCGGGAGCCAAAAAAATTGAAATTTCGGGTCCAGACGCCTCTTGCCATTTCTTGGGAAGTAGGGGGCGGGCTCTTCCAAGAAGCGGCGCAAATTGAAGGTCTCATCAGCAGCGTCACGAGCATATGCGTGTCATCGCGATCGGATGCTGCAGCTAGGAGCTAGACAAGTTGCTAGATTTCCCCAGATTGGCTATTCCTGCCTCAAACTGTTTCAGGGCGATTTGATCGCGGGCGGTGAGCTCTGCTGTAGATTCTGCTCCCCGCTGTAGCTCCACAACGAGAGACGCCCACAGGATGACCAGGGTATCGGCTTGTAGCTACGGGCTAGGCCTTCAATTCAAGTCACGCAGCAAGCCCCACCTCTCAGCGGTAGTCCAGCTACAGCGCATCGCGCAATCTCGCTCTCAATCAGAAACTTCGCTCTCAATCACACGAAAACCTTTTTATATTTATGTTTCCTGCTGAGGACCATTGTATATCAATGTTTGCGACAGGGTTTTCCTTGTGTGAATGCTGCTGTTTCCCATATCGATTGGTCTCACCATCTAAGAGTCGAAAGAGTGGCACGTAGTGAGTCTGTACGTTAAGGAGGGGGACGGGGGGAGTGTAGGAGGATGGAAATACGGGGGCACTTCTGTACATTGTGCTTCCCAAGAACCCCTTGCTTTGGTTCACACCAGGTGCTACATGCTGCTGACGCCGGTGTTGTGTTTCTGAGGGTAACGTGAGTGTATGCAGCAAAGGTTGAAACGCATTCGGATGTAAGGGTCTTTAAAGTTGATTTTTAGGTGTTTGCGCGTGTTCGTGCTGTCGTCGTCGTTGTCCGTTTGTGTGGGTTGTTTTCGGCCCTGCAGGCTATTCCCCTCTTGTCTTGCGCGTCTGTCAGTACCTTGACACCGATCAAAATGACAGCTTGACATTGCTCGGCTGGGGAGAACGAGCCGCATGTTGTAATTTTCGGAACTGTTGTCTTGTTCCTGTTGTAATATTTCCGCCGAACGTTAGTTCATACCGTAGTTGGGATCGATGACGCCTGTCTACCGCGATCACCCAGAGCTTGCCACCCACCCTGCGTCGATGCGTTGGTTGTTCACGTTGCAATATCGTCGCAGACTCCAACCGGGATGGACCTTGTCGTTGTCAGCGTCATCGCTAGCAAATCGCGCAGGGAGGTCTGTTTTTCCCAGCCATTTTCTGCTACAATTGGGGTCTTGTTGCCGCGGCGTGCGTGGAAGGGACTTAACTGCCACTCTCTCATCCATCCAGTAAGCTTTCTCCCAACGCAGGGGATACACTTCGTGTCGCCCCTTCTTTTCGTTCAATGACTCCACTCAATCAAACCGTTCACTTACGGGGACAAACAGGAAGAAAAGTCCACGAGACAAGCTTGGGCAATACGAGATTGGCACATCGAACCGGCGACGAAACATCCGTCAGTGACCACATGTTGCGGGTGTATTTGCGCCGAACAGACGAGCTGAACACAAACAGCGATCTTGTCTGCTCTCTTGCATACCGACGCCATGTCCTCCACATGCAGGTGCTTTGGTATCGTATCTTCCCGTAGGCAGGATAAATAAGTAGATACACAGCCTTCGCGGCCTCCAAACGGCGTTCAACCTGTTGGAGCTTGAACGGAACTCCGAATTGATGGCACATTGGCGAGATTACGCGGAAATTGATCGTGATATGCACAACAACATGGTTCGTGTGAACCCACGTGTTGGGGTTGAGACAACGAAAACTGACACAGCCATTAACGCAGGAGGCATCAAGGAAGCTCAGTTGTTGAAGTCGTGCAAAATAGCGGCGGACTGAGCGAGTGATCAGACATCCGTTCACTGTTTTTTGTTGGAGACGCGAAGCCTCTACGTAGAGAACATATCAGTCTCTCGGAGGAAAGCCCCCAGACGTCGCTCGCGCCATACCGGCAGATGAGATGTAGCGTAAATACGTACCTACATAAATCAGTAGCCCTTCACCGCTCCTGCTCGGTCCACGATGTCAAACATATTCGAAACGAAATAAATCAAATGCGTACAAGAAAGAAAAATCACCAAATATGGAAGTAGCATCGCATACTCTATCCGTTCACCCCTGTAGGTCGGGGCGCATTAACCGCCGGGGATACACCACGGTAACGTCATTTCCTCACACACACACATAAATACACATAAGAATTGGCGATATCGCTGGGGTGGAGGTGCTTGGGCCGGCCATCTCGGATATTCACTCGATGGTGATATCGGCTCTCTCCATTCACTGTGCGCAGGTTTCAGATATTCACTCGATCGCGATATCGGCATTCTCCATTCACTGCAGGTTTCACATTTGATTGCCGCGCGCTCTACAGTTCTTCGCGGAAGAAATGTGCTTCCTGTCCGTTCTTGTGCATGAATGCACGCGGGTCACATCAAGCTCTTTAGGATGCTCGTCCTGTCACCTACTTTATTCAGACGAGACGCACCATTATGCTCAATAGTGTTCTGGCGGTATTCTTATCGCAGGCTGCGGCGCTTGGCGGCTGGGCTAGTCAGTCTGCGGGCGTTGCCTCCCTGTTGTTCGAAGAGAGCCCTCCACGCGCGGAAGTTGCTGTCAAGCTGATCATTCCAAGTCGTCACCTGCATGTACAACAGCAGAACGAGTGGAGGACCGTTGTAGAAGCTTCTCGCCGTGCCATTACACTCTATAGAATACAGTACGCTCATTGATTTTGAAAGGATGACATAAAAAAAAACTCTGAGAGTCACTGCTGTTGTTTTGACCTCTCGCCCCGCTGTTTGTTGATCAACAAGAGCAAAAAAAACAGGTAGGGAATTGCTACATAATCAATTAATTCCTGTTCGCTGCTGTAGTATGTAGACACGTGAAATTGGACTATGATTGTATTCGGAAGTGGGATATCACAGGCAGGTGGAGGTCGACCCCCCTTCCCCAAAATGTGGGATGCCCGCGCCCCCTTGTTAAGGTCAACATCTTCGGGAACACAACCACGGCCTCCAAAATACCTCGATTTCTCCCCTTTCGAGGCCTTGGTTTTTTTCCCCAAGATGCCTGGCTTTGACAAGGCCTCCGCAAGGTGGCACGGGCATCCGACATTTTGGGGAAGGGAGGTCGACCTCCACCTGTGTAGGCCCGAAACCCGCTTCTACCCCTTCTGGGTGCAAAAGGAACGCATGCGAGCTACAAATTTCACGATACCCCACAGGTACCGGCGAAGAATATGGACTGTGGACGTTCTGACATCAGCGCACAGCAGAGGCCTTGCGCACCTTGCAGTACATCGAGAAGATGGTGACGCAAGGTCGCACAATAAAGTCGATGAAGTCACACTGGCTCTTCGGCAGGTTTTGATCCCGTCGGTCGCACAGCGGGGACACCGCCAAGCCCCGGGCAGCCTCCTTATCGCCCTGCAGAACCAACCGTGAAAACACAGACGAATAGAACGGCAGGGTTGTTGCCGTCACCGGTCACAAATGTAGAGGAAAACGTAGCGGTTGGTGAAAATTGAGGCGTGTTCAAGCTTGTCCACTACTGCTGTAGTTGAACAAAGGCAGCCACTGGTTGGTAGCTTCGACCACAGCGTGGCCCGACCTACAGAAGTTGCAGAGGGATAAGACAGGGATCGACACATCTTCTGAATATTCCAGAGACAGAATGCTGAAAACGATGTGTGAGAAACCTACTGCCGATTGAGAATTCCTGACCTGCTTGTAGAACTCTTCGGTGACGAGCTCGGACCACTTGTGGTGGACCTCCCACGGTTTGCAAGGGTGAGCCACGTCGGCAACCTGAGGGGAAGCATATGAAACGCCAACATGAGAGAGCATGACATACGTTCGTTGATTTATCGTTGGTTCCCGTACCCCGCAAAGGTGAACGAAAGTTTCGAGTTTTGGAGAAGGTTCTGTGCCGGAGACGTGCCCTTAAGAGCCGGAACGATTTACAAGGTTAGCTGCGAAATAGAGGAGGGGGGTGAGGGGGAGGGCGGGAGGAGGGGGAGGGGGTGTAACAATCGCATACGCATTCTCCCAGCGGATTTCAAGCAAAAGGTATGAAAGAAGCCGAACAATCTTGGTATGGCTTTAGTGGCGCCCAAACCCTGAGTACCGCCAATAATGAGAAACCTTCAAGCTTATGGTGTAGGCGAGCAACATGTTGTATCGGCAGGGGCAGTCCCAAAGAGCACGCGTTTAAGAGCGAGGTCCAACGAGCACACGTTGGAGAGCGAGGTACATCGAATAATTTCAACATGAGATTAACACTGGTTAACATGAGACAACAGGGTGAAACGTGATATGTAGACTAGCCCAAATGGTACCGAGCAAAATGGTGTAGAATTGTTACAAGAAAACTCGTGGACAGTCAGTGTTCATGAGGTACGGTCACCTCGACCACCTCGGGGCGTCAAATCTTGTCGTTTCGGATTGGTGAGGGACCACTTGTGCTTCGTACGTTCCAACAGAGTCGTTTGATTGTAGGGTCAACTCCGTGCAGCCTTTTCCCAACATGATTCCACAGGAATATATGTGTGCCTTAGACCTGCAGGCTGGCCGTAGGTTGAGGAAACGCAGATTTTATGGACGAAGGCAAATGATGAAGGCAACGTTTTGAGCAATTACTCATCGTGCTCGAGCTTTGAGAAGTAGTGTTCAAGGAACAAAGAGGGCGGGGATAAAGCCATTGCTAGCCATCACAGCCAATCTCCGTGATAGAAAATGAGATTACGCTTTGGAGATGGTGTGGACTTGAGTACGAGTAAGTTGACCATGGAATGTAGATGGTATTGGTACGCGAACAGATACGTCCAGATGGAGAGCAGCAGAAATGCTTGAGATAATAAAAAATATGGCAAACACTCGATGGGAACGGTAACCACACACGTACCTTCAGGATCATCTGCAGCACCAGGATTTGGACCTGGATGCTGTTGTTCTCGCCACCGCTTGGTTTTCCACCTGAGGCCGCAGGCCAAGAATCATTCAAATCGCCAGGGACACATCAAATGCATGTCTAAAAAAACTAGCCAGATATTCGTGTCGTGGTCTGCACTGCTAATGAAGCCACTCTGTCCTCCTAGCGAACTTTGGTTGCTGCGCGTATGTATGGGAGAGCTTCCATCTGCTAGCAGCCTGTTCCAACGCCTTGATAGACTAAACGTTCAGACTTGAGGCGACGAGATCCTGTGCATACCGATTACGTGGACTTTCGCACGGCCCCCGGAAGTCCGCTTCTCATGTTAGGGGTTCGTAAGGAATGCACATCGGGAAATCAACGTTCAAAAAATCGATTGGGTGCAGGAACTGTTCACCCCAGCAGCGATACCCGAACGTACAACAATCCTGGGCGCCAATTGCCAAATCAACGACATCGACGACGACCGCATACTTACAACGTGACCTTGGGGTTGGACGACGACACATTGAGGTTCGGCCACCATTGGATTCCTTAGCAGGCTGGAATGGTGCCCCAAAAGTACCAGATATATGTTAACTCCGACTATCACTATTCGCTCGTGCCGTACGCTTTCGATCACTCACTCGGTTTCGCTGTACAACTGCCTAGCTCCATGTTGATCGTTGTGGTCAAGCTCTGGAACTTCGACACATATTCCAGGGACAGAGCCAAGTCTGTGGCGAGGATGCACTTGACGAACGCATGTCGGAAGAACTGGATGTCCTCCGGCTTCCACCCCTGCCGTCATTCAACAAGGCACCCATGTCCACATGATATTACACTGAGACGAAGGAGTGGCTACGGAGTGGGAGTTGCTCCGACAAACAACGGTGGGCTCATTTGGCGCTACCGCCCGTTAAAGCGCCTTGAGAAAGAGGCGCAGAACCAGTGACTGCGAAGTCAATCAACGCCTCAGTGTTTACTCTCGTCTTCATCGCCGACGTCAGCACGGAACGACCTTCAAGAACAACACAATGACGATCACCTTCAGGATATCGAAGGCTGGGTCGAGCATCATCTTGAACCCCTCTGCTGCGTGGAAGTTTTCCAGCACGGAGGCGTCGTTGTACACCACCGCCAGAGGGTCAAGGTCGCGCACGAGGTATCCATTGTTGACCTGTGCATCAGAACAAAACCGCAATCATGGTGTACGTCGTGTTTCGGCATGGTCGACTGTCTTCAAATTTCAAAGTGGCTTAGCACGCCGGGATCGTTGTCGGCTACTGCATGGTTGTGCAGGATGAGTTTCGCCGGTTGCATAAACACCCCCCTTGCGTGGGAACGAAGCTTGACCCAGAATGGCTCGAAAAGGTCCAAACGTGACCGCCGACGCTTTTTGGCCACATC